CGTCACTCCCTTTCATCTCTGAGTGTTTATAGGAATGACGTCACTCCCTTTCATCTCTGTTTATGGGAATGACGTCACTCCCTTTCATCTCTGAGTGTTTTATGGAATGACGTCACTCCCTTTCATCTCTGTTTATGACGTCACTCCCTTCATCTCTGCGAATGACACTCCCTTTCATCTCTGTTTATGGGAATGACGTCACTCCCTTTCATCTCTGTTTATGGAATGACGTCACTCCCTCTCATCTCTGAGTGTTTATGGGAATGACGTCACTCCCTTTCATCTCTGAGTGTTTATGGAATGACGTCACTCCCTTCATCTCTGAGTGTTTATGACGTCACCCTTTCATCTCTGTTTATCGAATGACGTCACTCCCTTTCATCTCTGAGTGTTTATGGGAATGACGTCACCCTTTCATCTCTGGAATGACGTCATCATCTGAGTGTTTATGGAATGACGTCACTCCCTTCATCTCTGTTTATGGGAATGACGTCACTCCCTTTCATCTCTGTTTATGGGAATGACGTCACTCCCTCTTTCATCTCTGAGTGTTTATGGGAATGACGTCACTCCCTTTCATCTCTGTGTTTATGGGAATGACGTCACTCCCTTCATCTCTGAGTGTTTATGGAATGACGTCACCCTTTCATCTCTGTTTATCGAATGACGTCACTCCCTTTCATCTCTGAGTGTTTATGGAATGACGTCACTCCCTTTCATCTCTGTTATGGGAATGACGTCACTCCCTTTCATCTGAGTGTTTATGGAATGACGTCACCCTTTCATCTCTGTTTATGGGAATGACGTCACTCCTTTCATCTCTGAGTGTTTATGGGAATGACGTCACCCTTTCATCTCTGTTTATCGAATGACGTCACTCCCTTTCATCTCTGAGTGTTTATGGGAATGACGTCACTCCCTTTCATCTCTGTTTATGGGAATGACGTCACTCCCTTTCATCTCTGTTTATGGGAATGACGTCACTCCCTCTCATCTCTGAGTGTTTATGGGAATGACGTCACTCCCTTTCATCTCTGAGTGTTTATGGGAATGACGTCACTCCCTTTCATCTCTGAGTGTTTATGGGAATGACGTCACCCTTTCATCTCTGTTTATCGAATGACGTCACTCCCTTTCATCTCTGAGTGTTTATGGGAATGACGTCACTCCCCTTTCATCTCTGTTTATGGAATGACGTCACTCCCTTTCATCTCTGAGTGTTTATGGGAATGACGTCACTCCCTTCATCTCTGAGTGTTTATGGAATGACGTCACTCCCTTTCATCTCTGAGTGTTTATGGGAATGACGTCACTCCCTTTCATCTCTGAGTGTTTATGGGAATGACGTCACTCCCTTTCATCTCTGAGTGTTTATGGGAATGACGTCACTCCCTTTCATCTCTGAGTGTTTATGGGAATGACGTCACTCCCTTCATCTCTGAGTGTTTATGGGAATGACGTCACTCCCTTCATCTCTGAGTGTTTATGGAATGACGTCACTCCCTTTCATCTCTGAGTTTATGGGAATGACGTCACTCCCTTTCATCTCTGAGTGTTTATGGGAATGACGTCACTCCCTTTCATCTCTGAGTGTTTATGGGAATGACGTCACTCCCTTTCATCTCTGAGTGTTTATGGGAATGACGTCACTCCCTTTCATCTCTGAGTGTTTATGGGAATGACGTCACTCCCTTTCATCTCTGAGTGTTTATGGGAATGACGTCACATCCCTTTCATCTCTGAGTGTTTATTGGAATGACGTCACTCCCTTTCATCTCTGTGTTTATGGAATGACGTCACTCCCTTTCATCTCTGAGTGTTTATGGGAATGACGTCACTCCCTTTCATCTCTGACGCTCTGTTTATGGGAATGACGTCACTCCCTTTCATCTCTGAGTGTTTATGGGAATGACGTCACTC